CAGGAGCAGTGGGTCTTTTTTGCAGGTCAGGGAGGAGCGGATGACCAGCCTCCAATAACCGAAGGGCCAGTCGGCCCAATTATACGTCGATGATACATGAAGATGATAGTAAAGTCATGGAGGCTAGGAAAGATAGGAGAGAGAGTAAAAGAAAGGAGTCAGACACATTTTATGGTAGCATGCTCACCTTGGCTCCTCTTGACAGTCCATGGGGAAGTGGGAGAAGTGAGGGAGAACCTTTACTGTCTTGGGACATTGATAGGTCGCCATAAGACACGCATGTTCTGTAGTTACATGCATCACAGGTGGGTGATAACTGCAGTAAGGTCCCTGAGCACAGGTGAGGAAGCCTAATACCTGCATTGGGGTATGGGGGGTGGGGGGGTGGTAACATGGTGGGAGGAGAGAGCAAAAGGATGCCTGCTTCTATAGGGAGATAAAATCAACCAGGTGCTCACTTTAAGGAAGCATAGCTTCTTTAAGGGTAGAATCTGTAGGAATGATATATATACATACTTAAAAAATTTTTGGAGGGGAATGATATTTAAAGCAGGATCATGTACTTGGACTTTACCTCTAACTTCCCAAAGTGGAGGCTTTCCTGCCGTGGAATACCGGCTTTCCAGGTTCCCTCTGTGATACGTTAGGGAAGAGAGTCCTCATCCCAGTTCCCTCCGTGCCGTTCCCCACAGACGGTGCATCTTCCCGTCCAGGCTAGAGCTGAAGGGAGGTCGTTCCCTTTCTGCCCCTTGTGCTAGAGGCACGGCGGGCATGCCCAAGGGAGCAGAGAAATTGTTTGCATGTTTACACAGACACCTTGGTGACACTGGATCAAGCACTGGGCTGCTAAGCAGAAGGTGGGTGGTTCAGACCCACCAGCCGCCCGGTGGGAGAAAGACAAGGCTGTCTGCTCCCCTCCGGATTGATTGACAGCGTCAGTTCTCCCCTGTCCAGTAGGGTCACCAGGAGGCAGGGTGGACTCCTTGGCCATGGGGTTAGTGCTGTGCCACATGCCCGCTGGTTCTCCATCTCCTCTTGGGAGTGGCCTCACTAACTTTCCCACGTGCGTGCGATGTGTCAGCTTTCTGTGAATTACGGCTCGTGTTCCGGAGCCTCGCGGAAGTTCGTGTAGTTCTATTTCTAAACTCACAAAAGAAAAAGGGGGGGTGCAAAAACCCACTGCCAGTGAGTTGGTTCTGACTCAGACACCACCCTTATAGGGTGTCTGTGTCTGTCTGTCTGAGAGCAGACAACCTCACCTTTGCTGCTGGTTGTAAATGCTGACCTTGACCTTGTGGAACGCCTGAGATGGCCTTCAGCTACCCCTGCAACTGCACTCACCCCAGGACTCCACTTTCAGACCCCAGTGAGGTGCGCCCTCCGTGGACGAGGCAGTTGTTGAAAACCAAAAAGACCGCCTTGACCCCAGAACACAGTCCACAGGGGTTAGGAAAGAGGGGGGACGGGAACAGGAAGCAGCGTGGAAGTGGGGTAGCAAAGGCACATGGAGAGGATAGGAACAGAGGAAACAGAATGTGCATGAATTGTGGAATCGGAAACCGATGGTCTGCTT